CTTGTTATTCCACTCCTTCCTCTGCCTCCCTTGGCCGCTTCATCATACCGTTCTCGTTACCTGACCTTGGTTCGTTTGAGACCACTGCTGACCTGGTCACTCACCTGCGCTCCCTCGACGCTAGCTTCCGAGCTACCAGCTCAGACGCTGCTCTCGTCCCCCCACCTTGCTGCCACCCTCTATATTATCGCCACTCATCTCCCTGACCGCCTCTCCTCCACACGTGACGTGCTTCTTTGGAAGCATCCTAGTAAGCTTACTGTCAAACTCCTTGAGATCGCTTACACCGAGATCGAGAGTAACCTCCACACTGTTGCCTCTACCACTGCCGCTGTAGTTCCCCGTCACTTTGAAGGGTGTGATGTGCCCCATATTTCCGCCTTCACTACAACTCTATCTGTTGTTGCATCTTCTGCTTCTAAGGAGGCTGCGGTTTTTTCTGCCGTCTCTTAGCAAAAATGAGGCAAGGGATGTAAGAGGGGAGGGAAGGGTGGTGATCGTAGAGGTGGTGGAGGTGGAGGGGGTAGTGGTGCGTCAGGAGGAGGTGACTCTGGAGGCGGGGCCGAAACCACTGGCATGACGAGTGGGGGTGCTGACTAGCAGCAGTAGCAGCCACAATGGTCACAACAGCCACAGCCCCAGCAGCAAGTGCATCAGCAGGGATAGCAGTAGCAGCAGCTGTAGCGGTGGCAGTTCCAGCAATGGGGACCTCAGGAAGAGTGGGGACCTGGTGGTTCGAGGAGCGTTGGCCACAGCAGCGGCCCTACTAGGTGAGGGCCTTGTCGTGCTGGGCGTTGATGTTGGCCCCTGCAACTACTGGATCCAGACAGGTCCGGAAAGGGACACTGTCTGCGGGGGCCTCGACCACTCTGCGGTTCGTTGCTTCAGTCGTCTTTATGGCCTCTTTTTTATGCGCCACAGCCCCGACGTAGCCCCTCCGTGTTGGCAGGTTCTGGTATCTTGTGTGTTTGAGATAAACATGGATGATTTTCATACTGCCATGTATGTTGTTGTTGACTATGGTGCTGATGAATATGTTTGCTCACGTGCTCCTATTCTAGGATCTTTGTATGTTGCTAGTGTATGTGCTTGTGTTTCTAGTATAGGTGCTTGTATGATTACCAGCCTAGGTGTTCCTATGGCTGATGCATCTCTGTCCTTCATGCTTGACTCAAGAGAGTCCCAGTGCTTCTTACGTGACTGCTCCACTGTCCCGCTCCCTGCACCAGTCTCGGTTGCTATCTCTTATCCTACTTCTAGACCAGCCATCGCTCGCGGTTTTACCACCCTCCTGTGCTCAGCTATCCAATCTGTCTCCCTCACAGGTATCCACATCCCCTCGTGCTCCAGGAACTTGGTGGGTGTTGGACACCTTCAGAACCGTTGGGTCGCGGTCACTTTCCCTACACACGAGAGGCTGGCGACCTGTACGGACGCTGCTTATTGGGTCACGACTTGCCATGTTTTCCCGGAAGCCCCACTCAGGTCTCTTCACACTGCACAATGCGTCCCTCCTGTCCGCTATGCCTGGTTAGGTTGCTGCGTCGTGCTCTTGTAGGTCACTCACCCATCCGCCAATCTTATGGCACCATTGTCTTGGTCACCCTTCACTCCCACGCCCCCGCCACATGTCTAGTTACAGTCTTGTCACATGTCTCTTGTCCTTGCTTCCGATGCTCACTCCTTTGCTTAAGCTACCGTGCACTCATTGCGTCGAGGGTATGCTGCGCCCCACCCCTCACTCCTCCTCCCGTGAGCCAGCCATCACTTCCCTCCTGACTTAACACTTGGACGTATGCGGCATCGCCCCAGTTACTGGGTCGGGGCATGAGCACTTCTTCTTGGTGGTGGTTGACGAATTCTCTCGCTACATCACGGTGTTCCTCCTATAACAAAAGGCATGCGTGCCTGATTTCCTAATCCCGTAGTTCCTGGCCACCAATGCCCATTGTGACCTCCCTGTACCACGTCTCCACTCCGACCATTGGGGTGAGATTTGTTCCACTGTTCTCGCTGGGTTATGACGCGAACAAGGCATCTCTCTGTCCCGAACGCTTCCAGACTTGCCACAACAGAATGGGATTGCTGAACGACACATAGGCTTAGGCTTGTTCATGGAGATTGCTCGCACCTCCAAGGTCCATGCCCATGCGCCCCATTTTCTGTAGCCCATGCAGTTCACTATGCTGCACACCACCTGAACCTCTTGCCACATGACTCTCGCCCAAAGGTTTCACTAACCTGCCTCTGGTCTGGGTCTCCTGGTATTGTGTCAGAGTTTCTTGTCTGGGGCTGCATTGTGCATGTTCGGCCTCTCGGCTCGCGCCCTCCGTTGTGTCTTCCTAGGTTTCGCGATTGACGCCCTTGACTTCATGTTCTTCAACTCCCGCGATGTTCACTTTTGACGAGTCTGTGTCCTTCTACGGATGTTACCCCCACCGATGTCTCCTCCCCCCCCCCCCCCCCCCCCTCCCCTCTTCCTCTTCTCCACTTCTCTTCCTGCTCCTACTCCTCCTGTACGTCCACCCACCCAGGTCCTGCTCCGTCCGCTCCCAGAGCCAGCACCCCTAGGTGTCGTACCTGTAGTGCTGGTCCCGCTTCCAAAGCCACCTCCTCCTGACGCACCAGTACCTTCACTACCGCCACCACCTCCACCGCCACCCCCCTTCCCTCCCTTCTTACCTCCCTTGCCCTGTGTCTGCCAACCAATGGCAGAAATGGCTCAGTAAAGAGAGGGGCGGGACACCGAGGGCCAGGCAAATCACCGGACGTGTGGGTGAACAGAGTATCACCATCTTGACGCTGGCTCCTAAGGTGCAGCTAGGCATTGAAAATCCGCATGGTCCTTTGCGTCGATGTGCAGGATTCAAGCAGATGCCATGGTGCATGAAACGAGCTATGAACGGCGGACTAGGCGCGTGTGAGGTAAGTTAAGGCAGGTGTGCGGTAAGCGCACAAAGGTGTGTGATAAGAGGATACAGGTGTGTGGTAAGTGCACGCAGGTTTGCGGTAAACGTAGGCAGGCTAGAAGCAGCTGGCAAGGAACCCTAAGAAAGGCGAGATAGGATCACACCCTAAACGTCACCAGGATGAGATTTTGCGGCTTCGAGCAGCTGGAGGGAGGGCTACTAATGAAGGATTGGTGTGTGATGGCGGGCATGGGCAGGGTAGTGGCGTGTCCTGCAAGCGCTCTGGCGGCGTGCAGTGGTGGTGGTGCGTGCTGCGGGTGGCAATATGCGCGTGCTCTGGCACGGGCGTACGCTGTCATGCGTGCACAGGCTGCTCGTGTTGCACATGGCTGTGCGCGCGCAGTTGTGTGTGCTGTACGCGGTTTTGTGTGGATGTGCATGTTGCGCGCTGTCTGCGTGCTCTCAGATTTCGTTGCCTGCTGCGCATGGTGACCGTGCGCTGTTGCGAGCGCTGGTTGCTGTGCATGTGCGAGCTGTGCGTGGCTGCCATGCGTGGGCTGCGCGCGGCTTGATGCGCGCATTGCTGGCTGCTGCTCACTACGTGCGTTGCTGGCGAGCTGGTGGTGTGAGCGCTGGCGACTGGCTGGCTGGCTAGCATTGGCTGGTTGGCTACGTCTGGCGGAAACGTCGGGAACAAGTCGGGCTGGCCGGTGGAAATGATAGGAGGTAGGCGGTCTAAGGAGGTAGGCAAGCTATAACATAGTACGAACCTACAACGATACCATATCAAAATAATGGAGTGGGGTGTTATGAACTAGGAAGAGATGGGGATACATATGTGCAACCCAGAAAGGTTATACTCTCTGAAGAGTACCTCACCATAGCCTAACATGTAAATATATAATGCGAAAAAAATGAGATGAGTCGGATGACACCGTGAAGTGACGATTACGAGACAATGTTTTCCGCCCCGAGGGATCGTCATACATTTGCGGCCACATTTGTTAAAGGATGTCGTGTGCGAGCTATGGAGATCAAGAAGTGTGGCTCGAGAAGTTGATTTTTGAAGTGATATAACTGAGAATATTATGGGTTCACATGATTTTTCGTATTAGTGTACCATAATGAAACTTCCAACAAAGTGCTCAAATATCGAAATTGCAAAATGTTGGAAAATCCCATGTTTGAACTTCCCCATAAGGGGTACAAAACGAACTAGGTCTTCAGTTCCCAGATTTCAACGCTCTCGCGTGCCAGCTCACAATTTCTTTCCCAGAAATCACATTCGCGAAGTCCCATGGATATTGTGACACTTTTCGCACACTGTCGGGAAGCTTTCAGCGTCGCATCGGGTTTCTTGGCGAGTTCGAATCCGTTTGAACGAACGTCCCTAACCCTCGCGAAGGCCGTGTGCGAGATTCAGGTGATCTGAAAATGTTCGCCCCCTGGTCGTCACTTCTCTGTCCTTCATTCTTACCCCAACCAGCACAACCCTCTGCAGCAACCCGTCGAACCGATTCCAAAAGTGTAAAACCTTTCTAAACCCAGTATTTGGGAGCGAAGATCAAGCAGAGAAAACCAGGCTCGCTCTGTGCTGCTTCTGGTTCTGAATTTCCTTGATTCTTCAGGAGGCATGAACGCGTAGTGGCAGATAGTCCACGATTAGCACATCTGCGACTTATTCCCACGGCGCGTTGCGGCAATGATAATTTTCTTCCGCGGCGCTCTTATCGTCCGTGGCGCCATGCTCACGCCCTGGGAATTGGGTTGAGGCAGCCCTGCATCTCGCGATCGTTGTGAGGCGCCATGCCCTGCCAGTGTCGTCCTGACAACGAGATTCGCTATTATAAATCCTTGCGATGGAGCGCAGTCTCAGCATGCTTCATTCTTCTAGAAATCGATTACTCTACTCTCACCCGGTCTAAGCTTGATCACTCCAAAAAATCCACGTCTATTTCCTTCAACTGACGGTTTTTTAACGCGGTGTTGTAGCCACCTCATTTCATATTTTCGGTAGAGACAGCACCGTTCGGCACTTCTGGCTTTCGCTGGTTACGGTGCTGTTCCTTAGGAGCTTTCCTCAACGTTATCATGTCTCGAGCGTTTCTCCTCCTCGTCACGCTATCCGCGGTATTAGCAGCAGTCGCTGGCGTCGCTGCTGCGACTGGGCCTCCCCGCTCAGGCGGGATCGCTCTGCGCGGCGGCGACGGCAGTGTGACCGGCGGCGCGGCAACAACTGGCGTTCGCGGCGGCAGCGGCGATTCCCGCTCCGTTTCGCACGGCGATTCGCACGCCGTTTCGCACGGCGATTCCCACGACGTTTCGCACGGCGATTCGCAGCACCGCGGGATTCCCGGCGGCGGGAGTGACGAGGAGAGGGAGGAGGACGACGAAGGCCACGGGGGGCATGGCGGCCAGGGGCATGACAACCACGAGGTTGACTCGGCTAATGAGGGCGAGGATGATAGCGAGAACGGGGATGATGACGAGGATGACAGCGAGCATGGCGGTGGTGGCAGCAGCCATGGCGGCGGGCTGTGCGGGCGGGGCGGGTGCAGCAACGACTCGGGCGAGGTGGGGTACTGGAAGCTGCCCGACTACGGCCGCTGCTCCATCGGCACCGGCAGCAGCGGTGGTGCGCCGAGGAAGGCAGATGAGGCGTGGTGTGCGGGGGCGGCGGTGGGCGTGAAGGAGTGCTGCAGCCGATGCAGTAGCACCAACGTTACCGTGGATGGCACGCCCTTCAACTGCCGCCACTGGGCGCACATCCCGTAAGTGCCTTGCCTTCCACCTGCCACCTTGTGTCTTTTGCGTCTTTTACCGGTCTTCTTTTTTTCCATTGCGCATTTCCACGTTCCTTGCCAAGAACTGGTAGTCTCTGTGACCATTTTATTCAATGGGTTCTCCTCCCCCTTCATCCCTCTCAACCTCTCCGCTCTTCCCTTCCCTTGCTTCAAATCTCCCAGATCTCCTGGCTCTCACGACCGCGGCAGCAGTGAGCAGCGAGGCAAGTGCGTCCTCCTGCCGGCCGTCGACGCCCTCACGCCCGAGAAGGCCCGCAAGGGGCGCTGCGGCACCAACACGGGCGGCGACACGGTGCGAGTGGGGCGGCGGTGTGCGTACGGCGAGAACGACCCGCACTTCCTGGGCGCGCACGGCACGCGGTTTGACTTCAACGGGCTGCCGCGCCGCTCCTTCTGCCTCTACACCGACCGCCGAGTGCACGTCAACATGGCCATGCGCGGCTATCTCGACCACCGCCCGCTTGCACCCTCTGCTGGTAACCGTGGCACGATGGCTGCAGCTCGGTTTGTCAACGGCTCGGCTGTTCGCACGTGGATCCGACAGCTGGGGATCATGTGGCACGACGGCGAGAGCAGCAGCAGCAGCGGCAGCAGCACAAGTGCTCATTCTCTTGTGCTCACGGCACGGGACGGCAAGGAGCAGACTCGCGGCACACAAGGCTTCCTTGCATCCGCCAGTCTTGACGGCAAGCCTCTCCCACGCCTCACCCTTGGCAAGAGCCACGTTCTTTCCAACAGGCGGTTGATTCTATCCTTTGTGGGCCAGGAGAAGACCGGCCTGTTCGACGTGGACGTGTACACCCTCCGCCTGGAGAATCTCCTGGAGCTTGAGCTGAAGCTGCGCGCGGCGCACCCTCTGTTGCAAACACCTGAGGACGCGCAGGTGCACATCAACCTGATGTTTGTGGACTCGAATCCGAGCAGCGAGGTGCATGGGGTGATGGGGCAGACGTACCGCAGCGGCAGGGAGCAGCGCACCATGGAGTATTCGAAGCTGGCTGCTTTGCTGCACCACCCTGTGTCGGTGGATGGGGAGGAGGGGAAGGGGTTTTTGGATGGGGAGGCGGGGGATTATGAGACGTCGGCAGTGACTGCTACTGACTGCAGATTCACTGCTTTCAATGGCGGGCAGCTGCCTCTGCTGGCAGAGTAATGGATAGGAACGCATGAAAGGGGAAGATTCTGACTTCTCCCGAGATCTTCTCGTTTCTCCTCCACGTCCCCTCCTGGCTTTTCAGCAACATACAGAGCTTGGGTGGAAGTATTTTGACTTCTTGTTTCAATTTGGACAATGATGTATTTAATGTTTATTATTAGTGGAAGTAAGAGGAAGACAAGCTTCTTGTCAGTATGGTATGGTCCCCTTGTGTTTGAACTTCAGCAGCTGGTCTTTCTAACTAGTGAGACAGTATATAAGACGAACTAAGGAACCGGGGCCAGGGGGCTAAAACTGCAGCAGAGCATAGAACTATGGTATTGGGGGAATGTAACTGTAATGGCTTATGATATATTAAATTGTATACAATCATCTATGCTTCGGTATTAACACAGTGGACTTTCTGGCGAGTTACGCTACTTCAGTTGTTACTCGCTGTTGCTATCCAGTCAGGCGACGGAATTTGCCATGCTCTAGGCGACCAAGTCTGCTGACTGGCGGAGCGTGCTGGATGCTACTGCAGCATGCTAGGTGGAGGATTTTCGAGCACGTTTGGTTGATGGAATTTGCAGGACGAAGGACCGTCAGTTCTGGTTGCAATTCAAATGAAGGCGAGTGGGCGAGGGGCAATGGAGGCGATATTTGGCGCAGCGATGTAGCTGGCGAAGAAGGCGAAGTAGGCTGTGATGGCGAATGGCAGCGAAAACGGGAAGGGGGGTTACCAGTTGGGGAAGGACATGCAAATACTAGCGCTGATGGTGGACCGGAGCGGGAAAAGCGCGAGATAGCCAAGGCGGAAGCAGTGGGGGGCGACGGCGGCGGAGGAAGAGAGGCATTCGGAGCAACTGGAGGACTTCAGGTGACGTCAGCTGATGACGTCCCCATGTCCGCGGACGGCGTCAGGATACCATCGGATGACGTCACGATGTCATTGGATGACGTCATGGCTCTCCTGTTCGCCCAGGACCCCCTGCTTGCCCGCGCTGCTGCCGTCACTCTCAGCGCCGCCCTCCTCTCGCCCGCCCTCTCTGTACGTACTCCGAGCCACGCAAGTCAACAGAAGTCAACCCAAGTCAACAGAAGTCAATAGACCTTCCTGTGTCTGTCCAGCAGCCATTTTGACTCGACTAAGAAGCCTGTTTTGTAGCCATTATCTGAACTCTCGTTCTCCTCGCCTCTTCATCCCTTCCTCCAATTCGCACCTCTCTCCCTCCAAACCCCCCTGCCCCCACCCTTGCCTGCAGGACAGCACGCAGCAGCAGCAGCAGTGGTAACCCGTTGCTGGCAGGCCACAGTTGCTGCTATCGTTGCTGCCGCCTCTACTCCTGCGCTCGCTGCCTCTGCCGCTGTCCCTTCCGCTGCCCCTTCCGCTGCCCCTGCCACTTCCTCTGCCGCTGCCCCTGCCGCTGCCAATGCCTCCGCCGCCGCTGCCAATGCCGCCAGTAGTGCTGCTGACGGTGCCTCCCTCACCCTACGCTGCTCCCCCTCCCCTGCTCTGCGCTTCTTGCTACTCCGTGCCTCTCCTGCTGCCCGTTCTTCCACCGTCCCCCCGCGTGTTCTTGCCAAGGCAATTCCAAGCTGCCCTACTGCCTGCCCGTCTGGCGTGCCTCCACCTGTGTTTTCCAAGCCAACTCCAAGCTGGCCTTCTGTTTCCCCTTCCTCTGTGCCTCCGGTTGTCCCTCCTGAGCCAACTCCAAGCTGGCCTCCTGCCTGCCCTTCATCTGTGACGGCTGTAGTAGAGAGGGCGACCGTTGGGGGCAGCAATATTGGATTCACGATTGAGCCTCTTCCCTTCACTGCTTTTCGCTCGGATCCAAACGTGCCTGTGCCCTGCGCAGCCCTGTCTCTCTTCCACTCGCTGCTCAAACGCCGGCCACACTCCTCACCACACTCCTCACCACACTCCTCACCACACTCCTCGCCACACTCCTCACCACACTCCTCACCACACTCCTCACCACACTCCTCGCCACACTCCTCACCACACTCCTCACCACACTCCTCACCACACTCCTCACCACACTCCTCGCCACACTCCTCACCACACTCCTCACCACACTCCTCACCACACTCCTCGCCACACTCCTCACCACACTCCTCACCACACTCCTCACCACACTCCTCACCACACTCCTCGCCACACTCCTCACCACACTCCTCGCCACACTCCTCACCACACTCCTCACCACACTCCTCGCCACACTCCTCACCACACTCCTCACCACACTCCTCACCACACTCCTCGCCACACTCCTCACCACACTCCTCACCACACTCCTCACCACACTCCTCACCACACTCCTCGCCACACTCCTCACCACACTCCTCGCCACACTCCTCACCACACTCCTCACCACACTCCTCACCACACTCCTCACCACACTCCTCACCACACTCCTCACCACACTCCTCACCACACTCCCCACCACACTCCTCACCACACTCCTCACCACACTCCTCACCACACTCCCCACTCCGCCCCTCCACTGCGCGCCTCTCCTCCCTTGCCCTCTCGGCCGCCCTCGCTCTCCTGCACGCCACGCCATGGCCTTCCCTCTCACGCCTCTTACCCTCTGCTTCCTTCAGGGCCCGCTCCTTGCTGCTGCTGCAGGGGCAGCAGGGGCAGCAGTCATTGCAGCAGCAGGAGGGTCATTTTGGGAAACAGCCAAGCTCGGTAACAGCAGCAGGGACAGCAGCAGGGGCAGCAACAGCAGCAGCAGCAGCAGCAGCAGAGCTGGCGGTGGGATGGTTGACTCGCCTGCTGTCCGCCTGTGTCAGTACTGACGCCAACAGCAAAGGCATCAGCAGCATTGAGAAGTCTGGTACCACAAGCAATGGAGGCGGTGGCGAGTACGCTCAAGTCAGCGCCAGGGAGGGTGACGACTCCAGTAGGGAAAGAGACGGTGGGTGCGGCAGCAAGGAGAGGAGAGCAACGTTTCCTGGGCTGGTGGGAGTGTGTTCCGAGGCGACTGAAGAGGCATTTTCATCTGGTGCTGGCGCCAGGCAGGGTGACGATGCTAGCAGTGAAAGGGACAGTGAGAGCAGCAGCAAGGAGAGGGGAACAGATTCTTCTGGGCGTGTGCTGGTGGGAGTGCATGTCAAGACGACTGAAGAGGAGTGTGCATCAGTGGAAGGCGTGCTGCCAGTGGTGCAGAAGTGGGTCTCTCACTGCGTCCTCCCCATGCTCGCCCGTACCCCATCAAGTTCTTGCGACCCACGCCCTCCTGGCCCCAGCCACTCCATGTACCTTCACCATAAATCCCTGGTAATGCCTCGTCCTTCTCTCCACGCACACACCTCCCTTCTCCCTCGTTCCTGCTCCTGCTGAACCTTCTCTTTTTTTTGGGTCTATCCATCCATGCCCTCTCCCTTCGCGCCCACACTCTCTTCTCTCTCCTCTCTCCTCTCTTCTCTCTCCTCTCGCCCCATCCCCCCGAAGGCTCCTTTCAGAAGCTGTTGCTCCGGTGCGCACCTCTCCTACCCTCTCACCCTCCTCTCTCTCACACCATCATCACCTACCTCTCCGCCCTCCTCTCCCACACACTATCTCTCACCACCTCTCCACACACACCCCCCTGCTGGGTCTTCTACTCTACTACACCCGCTTCCGCACGCCTTATTAGTCTCACACCCACTGTTCCTGCTGCTGCTGCTGCTGCTGCTGCTGCTGCTGCTGCTGCTGCTGCTGCTGCTGCTGCTGCTGCTGCTGCTGCTGCTGCTGCTGCTGCTGCTGCTGCTGCTCCTGTTCCTGCTGCTGCTACTGCTGCTGCTGCTGCTGCTGCTGCTGCTGCTGCTGCTGCTGCTGCTGCTGCTGCTGCTGCTGCTGCTGCTGCTGCTGCTGCTGCTGCTGCTGCTGCTGCTGCTGCTGCTGCTGCTGCTGCTGCTGCTGCTGCTTCTGCTACTGCCTCTGTTGCTGCTGTCCCTGCTCCACCACCTGCCGCCCCTGCTGCTTCTGCAGCTGGTTCATCCCCCATGGCTCACTTGCTGCGTCTGGAGCTGCTGCTGCTCCTCCACACCACACACTTTCTCCTCTCCCGTACCCACTGCTCGCTCATCCACTTAGCAAGCAGGGGTTGGGGGGATAGAACAGGAGCAGGGGGGGCAGGAGCAGGGAGGGGAGAAGAGGGCGGGGTGGGAGAAGGAGGGATGGGAGCTGCAGGGGCAGAAACAGCAAGAGTGGGAGCAGCAGGTGTGGGAGGGCTCTGGGCTTGTGAGGACAGGGGAGGAGAGGATGGTGGTGGTGGTAAATGCAGTGGTGGTGGTGGTGGTGGTGGTGGTGGTGGTGGTGGTGGTGGTGGTGGTGGTGGTGGTGGTGGTGGTGGTGGTGGTGGTGGTGGTGGTGGTGGTGGTGGTGGTGGTGGTGGTGGTGGTGGTGGTGGTGGTGGTGGTGGTGGTGGTGGTGGTGGTGGTGGCGGCGTTGTTACTGACAATGGCCGGGACAGTGTCAATGGAAGCGGAACAGAGGGAGAATTGGCTGTGGGGAGGGAGGGCATGGTTTGGCAGTCTTTGGAACTTTTGCAGCGAGGGATGGCAGCAGGTAGGTAGGTAGGTATGTAGGTAGGTAGGTAGTACAGTGTCTTTAGAAAAGGGTGCTTTGTACTTCAAAGATAGCTTTTGCTTCTTTTTCACAAGCACTCTGCAGCAAATCCAAGGTACAGTGTAGTTCTTCTCTGTTCAGACTTTGAGCGGCAATGTGCCGAAGTTTTCTGAGAGTTCTTGAAAAATCGCCTGCAACAATTTTGAGCGGCACTGTGCCGCCGCTAAGGCTGCCGCCTCTTTCAGCATTCATCGTGCATCATATGTGCTCACCCTTCGATTTTTAGTCGACGCAAGAGTCTGCCATTTCAAGAATCAGCCATTTCAAGAATCAGCCATTTCAAGAATCAGACATTTCAAGAATCAGCCATCACGATGCGGGCAGGCATTGAGTTAAATTTCGAGGCGCCTCAAAAATCAGAATCAGCCATCATGCATGCCCACCTTTCTTGCCATTTCGTGCCTCCTCTTTGCCTGCCAGTGCAATATCCCTTACCCTTGCTCATACCCTCCCTGCAGCTGCTTCGCTTGCAGCCCCTCACCTTCAAACAGCATCAGCAGCATCTGGCATGGGGGCGTGCCCATCGCACCTGTCTCTGCCTCCCATTGTGGCCCTGCTCTCACACGAGGTCAGCAAGGGGGGCTTCCTTGACTTGCCTTGACCTGCCCTGACTTGCCTTGACCTGCCCTGACTTGCCTTGACCTGCCCTGACTTGCCTTGACCTGCCCTGACTTGCGTTGACCTGCCCTGACTTGCCTTGACCTGCCCTGACTTGCTTTGACTCGCCTTGACTCTCCCTGACTCGACTTGTCTACCTGCACCTTTGAATCACGAACAATGCTCTCATCACTGGGGATTCAAAAAACTTACTTGTCGCTCTCTCCTCGCATACCCTGGAGTATACCTCCCCAGCCACATACACCTCCTCCTTGTGAAGTTGAGCTTTGAGAAGGAGAAGGTGTATCTCAAAACTCAACATTTATCACGTGGCTAGTCAGTCAGATAAAATTTCTCCTTGTGAAGTTGAATCAACAGCGAAACGCCGTGGACTGCCAACACTGTCGTCTCTCTCTCCTTCCCTATCCCACCCGCAGGATGATGTGTTGCTGGACGGTTTGTCACTCCTTGCCTCCATATCAAATCAAATCAAGTGCCTCGCAGCATCGCATCAATCCAGAGGTCTAGCAGCAGTGACAGCACACGAGGTGAAAGTGCCTGTACCAGGTGCTGCAATGATACGAGCAGCAGGAGCACCTGTATCAGTGGCAGCAGCAGCAGCACCACCAACAGTACCGGCAGCAACACCATCGAAATTCCCGGGACGTCTGAACGAAGTAGCAACAGCAGCAGCACCAAGCAGCAAGGAAGGAGGAGAGGCACGTGCAGCACAAGCAGCAGAGGGAGCAGAGGGAGCAGAGGCAGCAGAGGCAGCAAAGGAGGTAGCACCTAGGGAGGAGAACATGGTGCAAGGCTGGTTGGAGGCATTGAGGGAGGGGGATCTCCTGGCGTGCTGGTTGGAGCAGATGGGATATGATGCCACGGCTGTTGTTGACCTTCTAATACAGCCCACCACTGCTCCTTCCTGCCTTCGCCTGCTGCTGCTGTGAGTGTCGTTTGCTGATGCGAGTGCTGCTGCTGCGAGTGCTGAGTGCTGCTGCTGCGAGTGCTGCTATGCCTGGCTCTGGTGTGCTGGTTGCAGCGGATGGGGTGTGATGCCACGGCTGTAATTGACCTCCTCATGGAGTCTGCCACTGCATCTTCCTGCCTTCGCCTGCTGCTTCTGTGAGTGTTGCTGTTGTGACTGCTACTGTGGGTGGTGCTCGCTTCTGCTGTGCTGTCAGCACTACCGGTATGTGGTTTGTGTGTGAATAGTACATCCCTGTACTGTTCTTATGCCTGGCTCCTGTGCTAGGTTCCCACCCCATCAAACCGCACCCCGCCCTCTCCTCCCCACCGCTGCCTCCAATACTTTCCAATCTCTCTCCCACAGCTGCCTACCAGCAGCAGGTGCCATGTGGAAGCACGTGATTGGCCGTGCACTGTGGCTACAGTGTGTGGGTTCAGCATCAAGGGAAGTGAAAAAACAGTCGGAGAATGGAAGCAAGAGGAGAGGGAATGACCAATTAGGGAGTGAGAGAGATGAATGGAGTGAGGGCGAGGGAGAGGGAGACGAAACGAGCGAGAGTGAGGGAGAAGAGCGTCGGAGAGGGATGGAGGAAGAGGAAGGGGTGAGCGCTGAGGAGGAGTGCAGCAGCGAGGGAAAGGAAGAGGAAGGCAGGGAAGAAGAGGAGGAGTGCAGCAGTGAGGGAGAGGACGGAGAGGGTATTCAAAGGACATGCAAACGACAGCTGGTGGGGGTCCTGGAGGGGGGAACGGGAAGGAGAGTGAGGAAGAGGGGGTTGGAGAAGGTGTGGTGTGGTGGAGAAGACGGCGAGGAATGGTGGCACTTGACTGATGGTACGAGGAAGGAAAGAAAGGTGGATGGGGGAGAGGACGAGGAAGATAGGGAGAAAGAGGAAAAGGACAAAGAGTATGAGGAAGATGAGGAAGAGGAGGAAGAAGAGGAGGGAATCAAAGATGATGACATGAAATTGGATGGAACGGAGCACTCTGATTTTGCTCTAGTCACGGCGTCTTCAGACACATGCTCCCCAGGAGGACTCTCACATTCCGCAGTGGTGGGTTCTCTTCGGTGTCTCACTCAGCTGCACACGCGACTCTCTCGCCTGCAGCACCTGGGGCTGTTCCCTTACAATGTGCGGCCACTGCTGAGCAGGTGAGAACAACAATAGCTCCAGGTGAGGCGAGCAGCTGATCGGGTCAGATACAGGAGGCTGAAGTTTGATTGACAACAAACAACCATAGCCACAAGATGAGTTTGAGTCACCTTGATAAGTCATGCTTGGAGTTTGACATTTCCTGATTCTTCTTGATTCTTTCTCCCTTTGAATGATACCGCATTTCGTTTATTGCCTTTGAATGCTCCTTGCTCTCATTTTCCTTTCCAAACTGCACAGGTTATGTGAATTCCTGGATTATCGCCATTAACAGCAGTTAGTAAACCAAGGGTTCATTGCAGCATGCTAAAAGTATTACAGCAGCTTTCGTCTCACAGCCATTAAGCTAAAGCTGCATCAATGTTGCATACGCATGGTATGTGTCTTGACACCACCTTAGGTGCCACACATCTCATTTTCCTTTCCAAACTGCACAGGTTATGTGAATTCCTGGATTATCGCCATTCACAGCAGTTAGTAAACCAAGGGTTCATTGCAGCATGCTAAAAGTATTACAGCAGCTTTCATCTCACAGCCATGGTGCATATGTACGGTAGGTGTCTTGACACCTTCTTAGGCGCCATACATCTCATTTCTTACCTACGAGTCATGTTCTACTTACATATTACACCAAGAAAATGTTCTTAGCGAGCTTTTGAAAATGTATTTCATTGAAGCCAGAAACAAGCCTTTAAGCAATTGTATGACTTCAGTTCCAGTGGCTGATATGGCTACAAGAACACAGAAAATGGGAACATAGTGGGGTATGTAGGCCAGAACGCACACAGGAGGAGCTGACCTGAGAGTATGGCAGGGGTTAATGGGAAAGAACTGAGGGTGCGGCGGAGCAGCGGAGGGGCTTGGGGGGCCAGTATTTTAGGTGATTTGCTGTGTGGTGTAGTAAAGTTCACCAAGTAGCCTGAAACTAGGGCATGATGATGCCAAAAAACATATAATTATTTGACATATAAATCAATAATTTCCTAGTACAATCATAGCAGTAGGGAATGAGTGGTGCAGTTAGGAAGGTGGTGCCGTACGAATTGTTCATGAATTTGTACATCGCGAGGTGCTTCTTCACCATAAATTTCTTTAGAACAGCATGTCCATCATGCAACAACAGCAAATGCAAGCCATCCTGCACAAGAGAGCGCAAACGAAGAAGCGAGACATCAATCACGGCGCCTCGTCGCGAACACTTGGAACCTAAAATAAACGAAGTCAGCAAAGCCATGCCTAACTCACAGAAAAAAGTACTTCACTTACAGAGCAGCGCAGCAATCACCACCATCGGGGCCGTCTCTCTTCTGCACAACGACTGTCTGATGTGGTGGGGGAGGTGGATGTCCTTGTGGAGGATACCCTTGAGGAGGATACCCCTGAGGCGGATATCCCTGAGGCTGCGGGGGATATCCCTGAGGAGGAGGAGGATATCCTTGAGGAGGGTACCCCTGGGGAGGATAACCCTGCGGGGGGTAACCCTGAGGTGGGTAACCTTGAGGAGGCGGCGGGTATCCCTGAGGAGGTGGAGGATAGCCACCAGGTGGTGGTGGATAGCCTGAAAATCGAATGAACAGAACACATTCGTAAGCACCAAGACTACAATCAATTAAAGAGCTAATGACAATGACGGACGCGTGTGAACACGGCTGTCACCTTGAGCGGGAGGCGCTCCGACGGGTGGGCCTTTTTCTGCCATGTCTGCTTATGAGTCTCGCGTAACGACTCTAAGATCTGGAGTGTCTGACTCGCTAATTTTCAACAAGTGCTTCAAGAAGGAATGAGATCCAGACAACGGAGGCAGTGACAAGAATGGACTGCAGCTCTGGCGACGTTGGAAAAGAATCAGCCGAAAGAACACAAAAACACAGCCCACTGTTGGTTTGTTCGCATATTCAATTCGGCCTGAAACTTAGAATCTGCCAAAAGAGGCAACAAAAAGGGGTCCCAGATGTCAGTTTCGGGGAACACCAAATTTCTTACAACGGCAACGTCGCGAGTGCTTATACAGAGGGGTTTCGCCGGAAGGTGTGATGGGTGAGGCGTTGGCTGTGCGATGACGTGCTTGATATGCCAAAGACCCCACCCCCACGAAGCTGTTTCGCCACGCCACCCTGGGGAATTCTCCCGTACCTGGGCCCTGTTCTGTTGGCGCATTAGGGGCGCTGAACCCTACCGATGAACATTCTTGGAACGCGCAAAACAAGGCTTAAAACCCACGTCGAGCCTCCCAAACCGTTATTGTCTCCCGAACCTCTGGTGCGGGAGTTGTGCGCGCATTACTCATGCGTGCGCACAAACGCTGAACTCTCTGTGCGCTGAGAAAATTCCACGAGCTTGGTTCCACAGGCAAATTTCCCGCATGGCCTGTGCGAGCCCTATGCGCTCGTCGAGGGGGGATTGAAGAGGCGCACAACCAATAACGGGCAGATCTAAACGCCAGTTTTTTTTATTTGTTCGGAAGAATACTCACCCCAAAAACAATCCAACGACTAACCAGTAAGACGGCGCAATGACGTGCTTGGCGGAACTTCTGCTTCAGCAAAGACATTGGCAAGCTCTCTGCCATGGCTCCTAGGAGAACTTTAACTCACACAATGTCAAGCTAATCGCTATCTGTTTCAAGATCTGAATACATATTCTGTGTCTACTCATCAAGAGCTTGATTACGACACCATTTTGTGTTCAAACAGAGAACATTGGTTTGTCGCGACTTCCTCTTGTGAAGATATGTTTTCAGGTTTTAACTGGTTCTAAGCTCAAGGCATTAAGTTACTCCAAGGAAGTGATGATGGCCAGGCTTAGCACAACTCGTCACCCAAGCTGGAACCTGGAAAGCAAGAAAGGCTTGACACACCATGAGAAGAGAAAGTACACAGCAACTGGACCGCCAAATATATTTCGTCTATCAACATTCTCTTCGATTGTTCGACAACAGACTTTAAAAGAGACATCTCGTCAGCCGCGGACATGTTTTTTACCACCATCGAGAACTACCAAGTCTGGATCAGCGTTGGTTTATGACAAGACGGGGTATACATCATGTTTGCAGCAAAATGAAGGACATCTAGAATGGCTCCCGAGAAGAAGTACAGGTACAAGAAAGGGTGTGAAGTACAAGGAAATTTATGGACGGAACATTTTCAGATTATCAGCATTTTCTGCCATCCTACATCGTTCAAAAGTAGGAGCTTCACGCTTGTCATCTCAACGCATTACAATGAATGTCTACGCGGCTGACTCAAGTCCAGGTTTCAAGCAAATAAGGATTCTGACCATATCAAATCAAGAACCACCTGTTTTACAGAAAGCTTCACTGTCAACTCAGGAAGACGTTTATTATGTGTTTCTTAGCTACAACTATCAGAACATTATAGCTTATACATTTGTGTAGGCTGTAGTGGGGTAGCCCATAAGGGGTACAACCCAATTAAGGTTAGTACTTGTACCCAACTGTTTGCTAGTTCATTCATTCTCGTTTGTAACTTTGACATAGAATCAGAGCAGGTTCCTTGGGCCCACCACCTGCTGCGCTGCTAGTACCCCACTTACCTAGGCCCGTCGCGCCCCTCGGCCCCGTTGCCCCTAGGCCCTGGCCTCTTGGCCCGTCGCGCCGCTAGGCTCGTCGAGCCCCTTAGGCCCGTCGCGCCCATTGGCCCCCCTTCGCCCCTAGCCTGGCGCCCCGTAGGCCCGTCGACCCCCGGCCCGTCGCCCCTAGCCCGTCGACCCCCGGCCCGTCGCCCTAGGCCCGTCGCCCCCGGCTAGTCGCCCGTCGCCACCTAGCCCGGCGCCCCGTAGGCCAGTCGACCCCCGGCCCGTCGCCCCTAGCCCCTCGACCCCCGGCCCGTCGCCCTAGGCCCGTCGCCCCCGGCTAGTCGCCCATCGCCACCTAGGCATGTCGCCCCGCGGCCCGTCGCCCATCGCCACCTAGCCCGGCGCCCCGTAGGCCCGTCGACCCCCGGCCCGTCGCCCCTAGCCCGTCGACCCCCGGCCCGTCGCCCTAGGCCAGTCGCCCGTCGCCACCTAGGCACGTCGCCCGTCGCCACCTAGGCCCCTCGCGACCCATAGCTCCCCCCCCTCTAACGACCCACGGCCCCTTCGCCCCTCGCGACGCACGGCCCCCTCTCGCGACCCACGGCCCCTCTCGCGACCCTAGGCCCCTTGCGACCTACGGTCCCTCTCGCGACCCATGGCCCCTCCCGCGACCCACGGCCCGTAGGCCCCTTGGCCCGTCGCGCCCATCGGCCCCTTCGACCCCAGGGCCCGGCCCCCCCTTTTCGCCCGTCGCGCTCCTCGGCCCCTTCGCCCGTCACGCCCCTCGGCCCCTAGGCCCGGCCCCTCGGCCCCTTGGCCCCTTGGCCCCCAGGCATCTCGGCCCCTAGGCCCCTAGCCTCGGCCCCTCGGCCTTGTGTTTGGCCCCTCAGCCCCTAGCCTCGGCCCCCCCTCGGCATCGTGTTTGGCCCTTCGGCCCCGCCCCTTGGCCCCTCGGCCCCTAGTCCCCTCGGCCCCTCGGCCCCTAGGACCCTTGGCCCCTCGGCCCCTCGGCCCCGCCACCCTCGTGTTTGGCCCCTCGGCCCCTAGGCCCCTCGGCCCCTAGCCTCGGCCCCTCGGCCCCTTGGCCCCTTGGCCCCTTGGCCCCCAGGCCCCTCGGCCCCGCCACCCTCGTGTTTGGCCCCTCGGCCCCTAGCCTCGGCCCCTCGGCCCCTTGGCCCCTTGGCCCCTAGGCACCATGTTTGGCCCCTCGGCCCCGCCCCTCGGCCCCTTGGCCCCTAGGCCCCTTGGCTCCTCGGCCCCTAGTCCCCTCGGCCCCTCGGCCCCTAGGACCCTTGGCCCCTCGGCCCCTCGGCCCCACCACCCTCGTGTTTGGCCCCTCGGCCCCGCCCCTTGGCCCCTTGACTACTGCTGCTACTGCTGCTACTGCTACTGCTGCTACTGCTGCTCCTACTACTGCTGCTCCTGAGTACTGCGCCACTATGGCTTCGCTTCAAGTCCTAGCGTTCAATCACGAGGTCAGACCGGTTGCATTTGACACATGGCACGACGATCTGCAACTGTACCTACTGAGCGATATTAAGGACAATGTCTCGCTGTTTGACCACGTGTCTGGTGTTGCTCCAGCCCCTCCCGCCACAACTGACGGTTCGACTCGTTCCCAGTGGCTTTCTCGTGACGCTACTGCCCGCTTAGCTATTCGCAACCACCTGCCGGTGGCCGACTGTACCCACTTTGGACAGCACAGGACAACACAGGCCCTGTACGACGCTGTCGTTGCTCGCTACTCCTCCCCTGCCATTGCTGCTCTAGGCAGACTACTACTGCCCTACTTGTTCCCTGAGTTGTCGGCCTTTGCCACCGTAGCGGACCTGGTTACCCACCTGCGCACTAGCAACGCTCGCTACCGCGCTACCGTCCCTGCTGAGTTCCTTGCCACGAACCAGCCCCCCATGTTCATCACCCTCTACTTCATAGTCTCTTGCCTCCTTGACTCTCTTCACTCTGTCAGGGACCACTTTCTCTCCCTTGACCCCACCTCCCTCACTGTTGACCTCCTCGAGCAGCATCTCCTCGCAGGTGAGACTAGTGCAGTTGCTGTAGGTGCTGCTCGTGGCACTCTGTCAAACTTATATGCTATAGTCTGTTTAGACTGTACTGGGGTAGTTCATATAGGGTACAACACTTTTAGGTTTCCTACTTGTACCCACTTGCTTGCTAGTTCAGTCATTCATTCGTTCACTATTCCGACATGGTATTCTGAGCAGGTTCCCTAGTGGGAACGTTTTTTTTTTAGGGCCCACCACGATTTTTTTTTCCTGCCCTGCCCGAAGCGCGCCTCGCGCCCTGCCCTAGTATGGCCCGTCGCGGCCCTGCCTTCGCCGCCCGCCGCTGGCCCGTAGCCGCTCGTCGCGGCCCTGCCTTCGCCGCCCACTGCGGCCCTGCCCTGCAACCGCCCTGTCGCGGCCCTGCCTTTCGCCGCCCATCGCTGGCCCGTCCCGGCCCGTTGCCGTCCGTCGCCGGCCCGTAGCCGCCCGTCGCTGGCCCGTCGTCGCTCGTCGCGGCCCTGCCTTTGCCGACCTGTCGCGGCCCTGCCCTGCTGCCGCCCCAGTTGCGGCCCTGCATTCGCCGCCCGTCGCGGCCCTGCCCTGCAGCCGCCCTGACGCGGCCTTGCCCTGCTGCCGCCCCAGTCGCGGCCCTGACCTAAACCGCCAGCTGCGGCCCTGCCCTGTGTGAGAATCATGAGAGGAATGAATGAACTAGGCAGCAGGTGGGTACAAGTATGAAACACAAAAGTGTTGTACCCTCTAAGAACTACCCCACTACAGCCTAAACAGACTATAGCATATATAAGTTTGACACCCTGCACCCGCCCCTGGTAAGCAACCGCGCCGCCCTGCCGCGCCGCGCCGCCAGAAGCTGAGCCGTGCCGCCCAGCCGAGCCGCGCCGCCCAGCCGAGCCGCGCCGCCCAGCCGAGCCGCGCCGCCCAGCCGAGCCGCGCCGCCCAGCCGAGCCGCGCTGCCCTGCCGAGCCGCGCCGCCCTACCGAGCCGCGCCGCCCTACTGAGCCGCACTGCCCTGCCTGCGCTGCTCCTGCTGCCATTGCTGCTACTGCTGCTCCTGCTGCTACTGCCGCTATGGCTAGCCCTACTGTTCTTACCTTTGATGCTGAGGGGCGTGCAGTTGACTTTGACGTGTGGGTTGACG